TTGTTTGATTTATTTAATGAAATCAAAAAATACATTACTTTTGATTAACTGATCAGTTATGAAATTGGAGATTGATTTGAATCTATTTGATTATTTTATTTAGCAAAGTTCGTATTTCAAAGTATCAAAGAGGTGGCTTTTTACTAGGTTGTTAACTAGCCATGCCTAGTACTACTTCTTCTATAAGCTATTCATTAAACCCGACCACTGGCTGCAGATATATTCACTATGAGAAAACAAGATACAAGTTCATTCCAATGAAGGAGGGGTGGGGGGTATTTGTACGTTTGTTTGGGTTCAGGCATAAAATAATAATATCACTTGCAAGATGCATTACAATTGTAAATGCAAAAATGCATTTTATTAGAACCACAGAACATATAGTTGCATTGTCAATATACAATATAGAATTAAATTTATTTATCCCTCTTATCTATCTATCTATCTATTTATCTATCTATCTATCTATCTATCTATCTATCTATCTATCTATCTATCTATCTATCTATCTATCTATCTATCTATCTATCTATCTATCTATCTATATATACATATCTATCTATCTATCTTTCTATTTAATCTATCTATCCATCTATCAGACTAAATCAATGTGTATAGCCCCCCGTGACTCCATTCCACAAAGTGAATTCTAATTTCTTTATCGATTCATCCCTGCACTCCAGGCAGTGTAGATAGATAGATACTATATATATAGTAAACTATTCTATTTTAACCAGGCATAGTTTGTAGGAGGAAGATGAGCCATGGATTGTAAATAAACAGAAAATAATAAATGTGTGCAGTTGGGCAAAAATTAAATAATTTTAAATGTTGAAATCAATTTTTTGTTCGGTCTTGTTTATCCGCTATTTGAGCTAACCTTTATAACAGGTTTAAGTGTGTCGTGGGACGTATATGTATGTTTTAGCGAATTATATAATGTTGAGAGAGAGGTTTCTTGAAAAACTGTGCCTTGAAGCAACACTGCTTTAGTTTTAAGGTTAAATAAACCGTAAACTTTTTCTGATCTGACATTTTACTTCACCAAGGAACTACATTTGATCATTTAGGAAATATGCTAAACTGGATTCGAACCCCTTATACACAATTTAACACCTTGCCAGTCTTACTAGATAAAGTTATGTTTGAGCAACTAGAAAGAAAGATAAATATAAATAAAATACTTATAAAGAACCAGCCATTTGATACTCAGTAATAAAGGGAGCTAGGAGTATCGAAAATATTTGAGCAGTGTTTATGTTTTAAAGGCATGTAAGTGTAGTTTTTAGTGACCCTCTAAGCAAGGATGGCAATGCCAAATTCACAACGGTACCCTTATTTAAGCTTTGTCTGATCAAGTATGAATTAAATAGCAATGTTTATAAACTTGAAAATGGATTATTTTCAATTTTAGCTTCTCTACAACAGTAACTACTGCTGAAAATCATTTAGAAGGTATCAGAATTATACACTTTTAAACCTAAAAAAACGACCACAGTATAGTCTCCACATTTTTTATGAGATAAAGGGTTTAAGAGTATCGTAATGAATCGGATATGCCATCTTTGCCTGTATAGGACCTCTTGCAATTACTCTTACAGTCCCATTAATTGTTAAATTGTAATGGTTGACCCTGTGTTGTGGCTTGAACTGCCTGAAGAATGGGACTAATCACCAAAATGACTTAAACAGAATAATAAAATATACAATCTAACGTCATTTAAGTTTTACACCCGACATCCACATAGTTTATAACACTATGGTAATAATAAGATTTAATTGGAGTGTTCCTGGTTTAAAATTCATTTCAGTTTATTACTCTAATATAAATATTACATATATTATCTATATAGTATATGCATGGCGATGTCTCATTGCTTTTTATCATTTATATTTGACTATTTTTAAGGGCAATGTTTTTTTTGGCTCGAAATAGAAAGATAGAGAAAAATTAGAAAAATGATTACATATTTTACATTTTTATTAATTTTAAAAAAATGTTCAGAATGTCAAAACAATATTTCGAAAATGAAGTAACAAAAAAACAAGTAGATCAAGCATTGATCTATGCTTTCAGTTTACACACCCAGTTTTTTATAAATCTATCTATCTATCTATCAATCAATCAATCAACCAACCAATCAATCAATCAATCTATCAATCTGTCTGTCTATCTATCTATCTATCTATATCTATCTATCTATCTATCTATCTATCTATCTATCTGTCTATCTATATATCTATCTATCTATCTATCTATCTATCTATCTATCTATCTATCTATCTATCTATCTATCTATCTATCTATCTATCTATCTATCTATCTATCTATTGTCACTAATATAGGACAGTACGGCACTAATATAGGACAGTTCGCCAATAATATAGGACAGTACGGACTAATATAGGACAGTACGGCACTAATATAGGACAGTTCGGCGCTAATATATGACAGTACGTCACCAATATAGGACAGTACGTCACTAATATAGGACAGTACGGCACAAATATAGGACAGTACGGCACTAATAACTATGGTTTATTTAAAGTACTGGACTGACTTTTACACAGACTATAGACGGAAAAACGTGACAGTACAACTGAGCGAAGATTAAGATTCTATTAAGATTAAGTAACGGTACTGAAGCAAACTGTTTATATTTTGTATTAAAAACTAATGCATTCTTCTATATATACCTACATACATGCATAATACATATTTACAAGGAACTAATATGACAATCTGTCGTCTTTTAGCTTTATTTTAATAAGAAAATTTCACTAATGATTTTTTAGTTAAATTGTTATTAACTGATTTTCCATTTGTTGTATTAAGTTAAAACATTTTATGAAGAAAGATATTTTTTGATTATATTTTCGTTAGATTTGGTTTAATCATTTTTAAATTTACAGTTCTCAGAAATATAATTACACGTTGGAGCAGACACAATGTACATATTAAATACATTGATCCAGTTTTTCTCTATTTTGCAACACCCAACGTCCCCACAATGTATTGTAAATTGTATAAATGGTCATACAACTAACCCTTTTTCATTGAAAATTCAGTTTTATAAGGATTTCTTCATTTTTTAAACGTTTATCAGAAGCAAAAACTATCTTGTATACAATATCATGTCTAGCACAGCTTCTCCTATACATTAGAGCACTGTGGTCTGGTTTATATAATTATATCTTGGTTACATATTCAGTATACACATAGCACATATGTTGTCCAAACTAAAGAACAACGAAAATCAATTCTTTTCAAATATTTATAAAATCATAATCAAACGTTTTAATTCGAATCAAAGACGACGAAAAGCACAAAATTTAAATCTTGCCAGAGCATTTTTTTTAATTCTAAGATTATCTGTTTGCCGAGCTGGATTTCTAATACAGGGTTGCACACAAAGGATGAGACTATAAAGACGACCAAAAACTCTTTGAAAATGTCGAGTTTATTGTTAGATAGAAGCTTGTTTTTAAATGCAAAGGTACAATCTTCTCAACAGTTTCAGATATTGTGGGTACCCCTGTATTTTAGTCCTCTTGAAGTTGTATAAGATGAGATGAAAGATTGAGGATGAGGGGGGGGGGTGCAATCATCAAATCCCCCCACTTCTCTTTAGCATCCATTAACCTCTTCATTTCAAGCTGAATTGAAGGGCTTGAGGGAGAGGGGGGAAGAGGGGCCAGGGAGGGGGGGAGGGAGAAGATGGGCTAGGGATGTAGGAAGGGAGAAGGAGGGAATGGGCAAAAAACTACACAACTGCAAGACAAATTACATTAAAAAGAATTATGTTTCATTTGAGATTTAAATCGCGTAAACTCTCTTTTTGAAGAATTTAACTGCATTTGAAATTGAATTTCTTATAAACCACCAAATAGTTCTTATTAGCCGCAAAATATAGTTCTTATTAGCCACCAAATAGTTCTTATTAGCCACCAAATAGTTCTTATTAGCCACCAAATAGTTATGCCAATTTCATATTTTTTTCCAAAAGTTTAGAGATAACAAATTTGCAACAGAAATTTAACTGAGCAGAATTTGCCACAAACTCTGATTTATATCTTTGCAGCTCAATGTCGTAGACCTTAGATATTTCAAAAGTATGAATTATGTTAATTAAAACAATCAAGTTTGAAATATGAAAGGTTTACACGATCATGTTGCAAAAATATAGGGAAAAGAAAATTTGAAAGATGCGAAGCTCTTTATATCCTTCACATGATACTGTAAATATCCAGCTGTGCCACTTTTACAAAATATCTAATAAAGTAAACTATGCTATGGAAAGTGAAATACAAGAGGCCTGATTATAAAGGAAGCGATTGAAATTGTTTATAAAACAATTCGATTCATGCAAAAAAAAATTAATATTTCACAGCTTTTTTTCACTTTCTATTTCTTATGACAAAGGAACCGCAACTTGCCTCAAACTCTAATTTTCGAATCCTTTTCTCTATGTAATATGATGTTGTAGACCTTTGATATTTACAAATTATGCCAGATAAATGTTAAAAATTTGAAATATAAGAAATATAAATTAAGAGTTTGGAACAATTTTTCATTTTCTTGGGTTACGTTTTTCTCTTTATAAAAAATAGTATATAATATCACCGACGCATATGTGAACACAAAATATGTAGATATAAGTTTTAATTATAAAAGTTAATATGCATAAACACACAAATAATTCCACCAACAAATAAAAGTTAAAATGTGATAAAAATAACTAGATACATTTAAAAAAGCGCAATTGCTCCAATAGATGTCTTCAACATTCAACGATAAAATTAAAGTAACATAAATATCGCACAATCTACTTCCTTTTTAATGAATGTTGTTTCCTTTAACGATCATGTTTTGCGATTTATCAGCAGTAGCCATATTGTGCGATACAGTAACTGTATTTTTCCCGTTTATTTTTGCAATGTATGGAAAATAATTATTACCGCATGTGTTATTTCCTCGGTTTGTTTCAAGTGTGAAGTTAAAAATAACAAATAGATTTGGTGTAAACATTGTTTTACATTTAGTTTAGATTGCAATATTTGCAGTGTTGTTTAAACTATTCAACATCAGGAACAAATTACTGAAAAAAACATGATAAAAGGGAGTGATTCGATTTTGGTTTTTATTAAAATAAATTTACCATTGGAGCACATTACATTGATTTAAATTATTAAGATTAACCTTACACAAGAAGAGGATGTTTTTTGTGTACTATTTTGTTTTCCCAGCCTGGTATTTTTAGTGACATCATATAAATTCAGCCTAAAAACTTTCATCATTTTAGACAGGGTCGACTTTGAAGTGTTTTTTAATGCTTTGGGCTTTGATTTTACGGCTCTAATTCATTTATATTTATCTGTAGACCTTTACATGTACATTTTAGCACATAAAAGCACTTGTTTTTAGCTTTCGTTTTTAATAAGTAATTGGCAAAATTCTCATCGACTTTTGCTTGAGAGCTTGCAACCTTTAAATCACAGTGACATGACTATTCAATTTGCTGTCTGTATTTCGGTACAACTACAAGCAAACTCCGGTACGGTTTAATTTAATCTGTCATTAAAAGCCAAGAAATCAGAAAGTAAACAGTTATTTCATAAGTAATTTTGTATGTAAGAAGATGGGATCTATTGCCCTTGTTCTGATCCTTCTTTTTACTGGATCATGTATTGATACCAAATATACAACTGCAGAAAAGGTATTAAAAAAGTGGAACTCACAAAACTGTGGAATAGGAAGACGACTGTTAGGCACAAGTTATGATTTTAACTATTTCAATGGAAAACAGCAAATGTGCATTGTACTGCACAGACCTGTTTTACAAAAAGTTGATTTTCATGCTTCTGATCACACTTTTAAGACACCATTAAATATTACATAATATTGCTGACCTTTCAGTTCCACAGTTTTATGCGCCCCACTGTGCTAAATATAACAATTTAATCAAAATTATTAGATGAATTAGGAAAAGTTACCAATGAAACTTAAACGATTTATAATAATTTTTGTGCAAAGAAGTTAAAAAAATTCTTAAATAATTCAGATAAATGATGATTTGGATGGTGCCTCAACTGATACAGAAGAAGAAGATGAAACAGCAACAACTATACTTTCAGAATATGAAAACGAATTTACATCAACTACAGAAGGTGATGCATCGACCAAAGCTGAAGTAATTGATACAAATACCACAATAGAAGCAGTATCTAATACATCGTCCGCTATTGCAGTACTTGATACAAATACCACAATTGAAGGAGTGGCTGATACATCGGCCGCAACTGAAGTTTTCGATACATTTGCCACTACTGAAGTTTTGGATACATCTGCCACTACTGAAGTATCTAATACATCGAGTACAAATGAAGTACTAGATACAACTACCACAATTGAAGGAGTGCTTGATACAACTACCAAAACAGAAGAAGTACTAGATACAACCATCACAATTGAAGGAGTACTTAATGATACAAATACCTCCACTGGAGTCGTTGATACAACTACCACAATAGAAGGAGTGCTTTATACAACAACCAAAATAGAAGGAGTGGTTGATACAACTACCATAATAGAAGGAGTGCTTGGCACATCTACCACAATAAAAGGAATGCTTGATACAACTACCATGAATGGAGTTGTATCTGATACATCTACTACAAGCGAAATAGTTGAAACAACTACAACTAGAGTAGTTGATACAACTACAACTAGAGTAGTTGATACAACTACAATTGGAGTGGTTGATACTACAACAACAGAAAAAATGGATCCATCCACTACAACAAAAAGCTCAGAGTTAGATGAAACAACAACCATTAGCAACAACATGTCTGAATCTACAGCGGAACTCTCATTTACCACCGAAAAATCCGAAGGTTCAGATTCAAAAAAAACTTCAACAACATCCAAATCTACAGACAGATCTGAGCTTATATCAACGACAATGATAAACTTTCTTACACCAAAGTCTAATCCAAACTCTGAATTTACAAATGAAAAACCTGAGACGTACAATCCTAAAAAGACCGACGCTGTTAGCACTGGAACAACTGACTCAGAAAAGAATTCTATTATAAGAATCACTAAACTTTTAAATAGTGTAACTGATCTTGAACTATTGCAACCTGAACAATTGAAATCATCAGGAAACATAAACTCTGCTTCAACAGTTATTCATCCTCAGAGCTTTGGAAAAATTTCAGGATACTCCTCTGGTGGCTCTTACTCCGAAGGCATGAACCTCTCTCAACAAGGACCAGGAGCAGCTCGAAGAAACCACGAATTTCTCTCTTCCAACCCGTCCCAGTCTAAAATTAGTTATAAAGGTTCAACTAAACCCAGTTTACAAGAAACTTTCAAACCATCTCCGAGATATCCAAGGAAAGGTGTGAACAGCAACTATGTTGATGTTGGAACTGATAATACTGTTTACTCAGCAGAAAGTTCTTTACCAGAGCTATTTTCTCAAACTAAATATCATTTGTTAACTATGGCGGACGGATCACAGAGTATTATAAAACTGGGGGAAAGATGAGCGGACTGAAAGGATAGTTTACACATTAGGAAGATAAGGTAATTTCAAAATTAGATTTTTTTAAAGGGTAATAGATAATAAAAGAGTGTGATTTCTGATAATTTTATTGTGACATGATACTACCCTGCCAAAGAAAGTTTAAACCTTTGTTTCAATCTTTGTTATTGTTTTGATAAAACAAGTTTACAGCAGTACATTTACATCTTTTGTACAGCAGTACATTTACATCTTTTGTAGCATTGCTTTTACAGATTTTCCATCTTTTCTACAGTAGTCCATTTACATCTTTTGTAGCATTGCTTTTACAGATTTTCCATCTTTTCTACAGCAGTCCATTTACATCTTTTGTAGCATTGCTTTTACAGATTTTCCATCTTTTCTACAGTAGTTCATTTACACCATTTGTAGCATTGTTTTTACAGATTTTCCATCTTTTCTACAGCAGTCCATTTACACCTTTTGTAGCATTGTTTTCACAGATTTTCTATCTTTTCTACAGCAGTCCATTTACACCTTTTGTAGCATTGCTTTTACAGATTTTCTATTTTCTTTACAGCAGTCCATTTACACCTTTTGTAGCATTGCTTTCACAGATTTTCTATCTGTTTTACAGAGCCGGACTAGCTAAAGTTTCTTCTATACGTATGAGCTCATAGAAAATTCGTAAAAAAATTAAGCACTTGCCTCAAACTCTAATGTTCTATACTTCTAATCCTTACTGCATTTGCAACCTGATGTCGTAAACCTTTAATATTTCAAACTATCAAAGCTGTAAAATAAAATGGCAAAAGTATGAAATAAGAAAAGATATTCACCATCAGGGTGGAAAGAGTTTGAGACAAATGTTCAGTTTTTAGCAAATAAATGCTCGTTGAAAATATTTCTTTTAATTCGAGGATGATAATTGTAAAACTATTAAAAATTGATAAATTCTTTATTATATCGTATGGTCTATTATTTACTCTTTATTATATAGCATTTGATCAGGAATTGATTACACGCCTCAAACTCTAATTTTCTAATCTTTTTACACAATGAGGTTATGAAGATAAAAAGATTATAAAATTAGACAGTTTTTTTCTGCCCAGGATTGGAAATACATTGATCATCTTCAACAGCTCTCTACCTTTAACCTTTTTTGGGAGAAATGTGATTTTCTTTTAGAAATAAACACTTTTAAAAGTTTAATTTCTTTCTTTTAGTTTTTGCCTCCATTTAAAAATTAATGAAATAATCAATTAACAATTATATTTTATTTCTAAGTTGAATATGTCCTCATCAATAAAATAAGATTTTAAAACACTAGAACCCTGCACTGTTAGATTTGACACGTATCACGATTTTCATTAGTAATGTAAGGACAGGATATTAAGCAACCTTGGAGAAAATACGTAAAAGTTCGTTAATTAGATCGACCCCCACTTCCTGACTTCTTGACAGAAACAATCTCAAGGAAAAACAATTTTCTTGAAACATTCCTTAAAAAGTGTATATTTGCAAATTATCTTTTTTCTTATCATGATCTGAGTTCGTTTCCCTTTTGTCAATTTGACGGACCATTTTTTTAAAAATATTTTTTTTTCCTTGCGGTTTTTTAACATTTTTCATTATCGATTTTGATGGTTATTATATCGATAGAACTGACGAGGGTCAACCCAGACCATAATATATTTTTAATAAAATGTGGAACTTTATTTACTCTACAGAGGTTTGGTCCATCACAATCACCGAATTTTTAATGTTTAATTGTATGTCCCATTGAAACTCATGAACCCATTGCCAGATTTTGATTGGGAAACGCGGCAAAATCACTTAAATGTTTTTTGAAAGTATATAAAAAGTTTTCTAGTTTGAATGTCCTCTATTATTCTATTATCTAGGATCGTGAGCAGATTACTCTGCTCAGCTCTCTGCGGTTAAATTGATGATCAAAATTCAATTTTCTCAATTCTTCAAACATTATCCAATTTTGTACTCAACTACCATCAAAACCAGAACAATCAAATCATCAGTCATTCAAACATACATACACTCATGACTGACATACAAACAACATAAACTAACATACACACACCCTTGACTGACAAACAAATTACATAAACAAACATACATGCAGTAATGACTAAAATACAAACAACATAAAAATGACTAACATACAAGCATCATAAAAAAGATACATGCACTCAGGACTGACTTACAAACAACATATATTAAAGTGTATAAACTCAGACTAACACACAATTACCTCAGACTAACACCCAATTACCTCAGGCTAACACCCAATTACCTCAGACTAACATAAATTGACCTCAGACTAACACACATTGAACCCAGACTAACATAAATTGACCTCAGATTAACACAAAATGACCCCAGACTTCATAAATTGACCTCAGACTAACACAAAATGACCCCTGACTAACAAAAATTTTCAGACTAACGAACATACACTGTACTCCGTATACATCCACTTTAGACTAACATACATACACGATGGAGTAAGATATATTCACTCGACAAGACTAATAAGCATACAAACTTGATTAAAATACATAACACGGGCCTAAGATGCATCCAATTCTTAGCCTAACAGACATAACCTCTGCATATTTGCATCAAAACCTTAAACATGATGAAATACTAAACAATGTATGTCACCTTCTCCGTCGTTATTCTCAACATTGTGGAATGAACGGTGTTCTTTGAATGCGTTTTATCTAAAATTGAAGAGGTGTGTATAAAGATGATATCTAGCTTCATCAATTCTACTTTAGACATATACTCATATATAAACCATCAATGGCAAGCTGATTTAAAAACTGGGATCATCCCGCGGTAAAGCGTCCCTTTGAACTATTAAACCCATTAAACCCCCTTCGTTCGTCGTATTATGTAGGATAAGCGGATTTTTGGTAACTAATCATTTGGTAACTAACACTTCGATAACTTATAATTGTTAGTTATCAAAATACTAGTTACCACATTGGCAGGTTACCAAATTATAGTTACATAATTGTTAGGATACCAAATTGCCAGGTTACCAAATTTTCAGGTTACCAACTTGCATAAGTACCAAATTTTCAGGCGACCAAATTTTTAGTCACCAAATTGTTAGTCACCAAATTGTCAGGTTTCCAAATTGTCAGGTTGCCAAACTGTCAGGTTACCAAATTGTCAGGTTACCAAATTGTCAGGTTACCAACTTGCATTAGTACCAAATTTTCAGGCGACCAAATTGTTAGTCACCAAATTGTCAGGTTTCCAAATTGTCAGGTTACCCAACTTGTTTGCTACCAAATTGTCAGGTTTCCAAACTAGTGTTACCAAATCGTCAGCTACACAATAATTTGCTACGAAATTGTAAGCTATTAAATTGTTATATACCAAATTGGCAAGTTACAAAATTATAGTTAACAAATGTAGTTACCAAATTTTAGTTACAAAATTGTTAGCGACAAACCAAAAATCCGTCCATCTTCTGTACTTCAGTCTAGCGTGGTTGAAGCTTTAAATCAAAAATGCCGAGTTGTTTACAGCTTATCATTAGAGATGTATTCAATTTTTATTTATCATCCAGTTTATCTTATTTAGATATTGATATTTTTGTTCAACAACCCCCTTTCAAACCCAGTGCGGGACCCGTAGCAGTAACTTGTTGACAAGTTATGCATATTGCATTTTGTGTATTGTAAAGAACTTTTAAATCAATTGTGACACATTTTGAAACATGTTTCGAACCAATTGTGAGTTGTGACACATGTCTCGATACATTTCAATATCATTACATCTACATTCTACATCTGTATAGATTGAACCAATTGTGACACATACATCACATTTTACATTTGTATAGATCAAACCGATTGAGACACATACACCGAATTCTACATCAATAGACCAATTAAACGAATTGTGACACAACTATCACATTCTGCCTACGTATAAATTAAACCAATTTTGACACATTATGTAAATTCTACATATGTAAAGATCAGACACACAGATCACATTCTCCATATGTATAGATCAAACAAATTGTGACACATTCATGTACATTATACATATTTATGGATCAAACTGCAACGTCACACATGTACTGATAAATTTTAAACCAAGTGTTTGCTATATGTTCCCATAACCCTAAAAGCGACAGATTACATGATGTATTTACGAATCACTCCTTTTATTGAGAACTTGAAGATCAAAAATGTAATAAATTTCTAATATTTAAACAAGCAAAGGAAAAAGTAAATTGAATGTAAGATTGAAGTCCTAAAAGTTTTCAATCATAAAGCCTCTATTAAAGAGCGAAAGAGAAGAACTAAAATATTATGAATTTCTAAAATGTAACTGGATACATTTTTTACATACACTGCTTAAAATCAAAACTAAAGGAGCTACGAGGTCTCAAAGTTGTAACAGTAATGTCGCATGAAATATACCCTCTTCTTCTTTTTGGTTCGGTGTGTGTNGGGGGGGGGTAATGTCAAGTTCATTTCTCTCTCTGAGGTTCCATATTTAATAGTTCTTGACTAACAATTGAAATCATGGGAATATATAAACACAACTCACTGTTCTAGGTAGAAATATATAAATATACAGTATTCTACAGGGTGGCCCAAAAAACATGGAAATTCAATCACGATTTCGATATCGTCTTGATTTAGTATAGTGATACCTACAGAGAAAGCTGTAATCCATAAGATTTTTGTTTGCTATGTTTACAATTTGTTTGTTTGTTTTGCATAAGGGTGTACTTAGTAAAACAAGAAAATTACAGTTTAAAAACAAAGCAAACTTGACCGTCTTCACTGTTCATCTGGAGGAAACATTATAGACACATCTTTACAGTAACAAATATATTTAGATGTTTTTTGTGTGCGTGGGGGGGGGGGGTCTGTTGCACTGTTTAGATACCGATATCTCCAGTTCCTGACTATATACGATTTGTTTCAGCTTATACATTGAACATTATTGGTAAATGTAGACAAAAATTTATTTTAGCTAAATACATAAAGGTTTTGAGCTGGTCTAATACATCTCAATATCTTTATGAGATATCTTACTTTTTCCAGTTTTTTTCAGAAAAGTCCAATTATTCGCCTAAAAAATTCTTTAATTGATTGGTGCCATTCAAAAATGCATTTTTAGTCACAAAATAAAAATTGTTCTATGTCAAAATTAGAGCCTTTTATATGGCGCACACTGCAGCAAAAATTATCAAATTATTGAGATATCTGAGGAAAACTAATTTTTTCCAAATATTTACCCATTTACAGCGCTTATTTATCTCACGAAAAAATTTGATAAAAACTGAATTGATTTAATTATTTTGGTGCAAATAAAGCTTATATGGCACTATTTGAATGTGTGTATGAGATATATTATTTTAATCATTTTTCAAAGTTTACAAACGTTTTTATTCTAATCCTTTATTTTAAGCTCACTGATTTTAGAATCAGAACCTAAAGATAAAAAATATATTCTGTAAATAAATTATTATCATATTTATCGAGAATGGTTTTCTTAGTTATACATGTTTATATTTCTAAACATTTCTAAACATTTCTAAACATATTCTAAACATTTCTAAATATTTCTAAACATATTTTAAACATTTATAAATATTTCTAAACACATTTTAAACATTTATAAATATTTCTAAATATATTCTAAACATTTATGAATATTTCTAAACATAGTATGATGCTTGTTAAATGGAAATAAATCAAATATTAATCAATACGTGTAGCTGCAAATCCGCCAAACCTATATGGAGAAATCTGCTTAATTACAAATCTACTCAGGAACCCCTAGACCGATTTGCCTCAAATTTTAATTGAGGAACTTGGAAGAGCCACAGAAATGTTCTTAGCTAGGTTTTGAGATTTTATGTTGAAAGGGTCGACTATAATAGCAAAAAGTTAGTCTCTTGGTAAAAGTGCGGGTAAACGGCGGGTGTAACTATGAGTACCTTGGGCAACGCTGGGTTAAGCTAGCATACTATATATATAATATAAATATAAATTTTACAGCGATAATATTGTAAGGACGCCTTTGTTTTTGTATTTGTGTAAATTGTATGAACAAAATATATTTGAATTGAGTGCATTGTATATTGGGCCATGATAGAAACATAAACAACATACGCTTTACGCACTTTGCAATATTTTAGATTTACTTGGTTA